GAGGGTTATAATCAAAGAGACAGATAACAAGTATTGTCTTGGATGTGGAGAAGTTGGAACTCTCATACATGGCTGATGAGAATTTTAAATAGCGAAGGTGCTTTAGAAAATAGTTTGGCAGCTCCTTCAAATGTGACCCAGCAATTCAGTCCTAGTTTTGCATACCTAAGAGAAATGAAAACTATGTGTACACAAAAACTTGTACATGAATGTTCACAGCAAGTTTATTCATAACAGCCAAAAAGTAGAAACAATCCAAATATCCATCTGCTGATGAATAGATAAATAAAATATGGTCTATCTGTAATGGGATGTTATTCAACAGCAAAAAGAAGTGAAATTCTGATATGCACTAAACATGGATGAACCCTGTAAATATTATGCTAACTGAAAGAAGCCAGTCATACAAGACCACATATTTTATGGTTTCATTCATATAAGATAGCAAGAATAGACAAATCTATAGAGACAGAAAGCAGATTAATGATTGCCTAAGACTGGGGGGGTTTGGGAAGAAATGAGAATTGACTGCTAGTGGGTACAGGGTTTCTTTCTGGGGTGATGAAAATGTTCTAAAATTGACTGTGATGGTGGTTGCACAACTCTCTGAATATACTAAAAAACATTGAATTACACACTCTAAATTTGTAAATTATATGGTATGTGAATTATATCAATAAATCTGTTAAAAAAGACAAAGTTAGGACCAAGCAAACCAAGGAGATATGATTTTTAATAGGCGATATAGATATAACCAGATTTTTTTTTTACCAGAATTAAATGGTAGACAGTACAATGTGGTCTTCTTTGATGAGGATCTATAGTATTGGTACTTTGTGTTGCTGAGTGTGTGGGGGCAAGGACTGATAAACTGCTGAGCAAAAATTTCTGTGGAATTTTTAATTACCCAACCAAAATTCTTGCCAATCATCCTACCTCTTCACAAACATATGCATCATATTTCTGTCTTGTGCAATCACTCTTGCAGCAAAGAAGAAGATGGATTAGGAGTGATTAGATTGAAGGGATGACTATTGTGGCATTCCAAGTGAGGCATGATTAGGACCTGAACTTTAGTGGCAAGGATTGCTTAGAAGGAAAACTTGAGAACAATTCAAGAGTGATAATCAACTGTTGTTAATGATTGGATGGTTAAGAGAGGAAGATGGAGTCCATGATGACCCTCAGCCCTCTGACTTAGGAAACAGGATGAATGATGACTCATTCACTACGTGAAGGAACACAAATAGAAAAGCAAGAGTGAGTTGGAGTGACAGGTCTGGAAAACACTGAAATACCTACAGCACTTTGAAGTGGAGATATCTAGCAGGCATTTGTATATCCCAGCCTGGAAAGCAAGGGAAAGGTTCTGGGCTGAAAGCATAGTTGTTCTCTTGGGAAAGTGTGTAGAGTGAGAAAAGAATAGTTTTAGTGTGATAGGCTCCTTATAGTTATGCTTGCATCTAAATGATGAGAAATTTCTGAAGAAAAGAAAATCAATGACTGTTATTCTTGGGTGAATTATTCTTCCTTGGTGAACAACAGCGAAAATTCTAAGGCTAAATTATTAAGAAAATATAGCTTTGTTGATTTATTTTTTTAAATAACTGATCTAAACTTCTCACGGGCTTTGATCACCTTTCTCCCCTGTTTAGCAGGGAAATGATGAGTTAAAGTTATTAATGCCATCCAGTTACTTCCAGGTAAAAGTCTCTTTTGGGTAAAAGCTGAGTCTTTCATATTTTCTCCCACTCCATATTCCTGAGGATGATCACACCTCTTGATTTGCCTGGGACAGTCCCAGTGTGTGCCTGCTGTTCTCACATAATCTTTTATAGAGCTTCCTTTTACTCTCAGAAAGGTCCCAGTTTGGACAAATCGTCACCCTAAATATAGGTGTATAGGCCAGAGGTGGGGGAGGGGTGAAGTTGGGTCTTGAGGGTGTCTGGGATCCACAAGTTGTCTCTGAATTTTTACTGATTTGTGCTGCAGGTTTCAAGACTAGTTCATACCTGGGCTGGACTCTACTGATAAAGTCACTGATGAACTTACAGCTGTATTTTGGGCCTGAAGTCCTCCATTGCTGATTTTTCCTCACCTTAGCTTTTATTGCCACCCCAAACCCCTTAAGTCTCATTGAAGTCCTCCATCCAGACTTTGACTTAGTTGCCTTTCTACAACCTTCGTGGTAAACTCACCTAGACACAACAGCCCTATGCCGGGTATTTTGGTTCTAAATTTGACCACCTTCTCTGCATTGCCTTTGGTATGTGGAACCTTGAGAACTAGTTTACAGTATACAGGAATTAAGGGACTCTTAGGAGGGCTGAGGCCTCCTCTCTGCCTGAGTATCCCAAGCTCTTATTTTTATGTTGAGTTTCCTCCTTGTGTGGATGTTTTCTCCTAGAGTTCTAAACAGGGAGTTTGGCACATGCCCTCTACTTTGGGCTTTCTCTTCACCTCTTCTAATGTCATCATCACACCTATTACCCCCACCTCCAGATTTTGGGCTTGAAGGAGAGAAGTCAGTCCCCATTGTCTAACTGCTTGTTTCCTAAGCCTGTGTCCCCTTTATCTTTCCAATAAACCTTTAGGCTGGAAGGCATAGAGGGGGGATCTATCTTAGGTCACATGAGTTCTTACAGTAAAACTCTGTAATTCATGTAAAACTCTGTGGTTCTGTCTACAAGCCTTAATCTATATATGTTAATAGGACCTTGAGGAATGTAGCAGGATGTTAAATGTGCTTTCATGTAGTCTTAGAGTTTGACCTTAATAGATGAGAACAAAATAAAAATGACAATTACCCCATCCCCTATTCTGTGTAGAACCATCTATGTAGAATTTGTAATAAGTGAGATCAAAACCTAATTCTTTCAACATTAGACCATCACCAATCTCTAAGCTATTTAAGAAAAGACAAAGAATGCACTGAGAGGATGAAATGATCAAGAATGTTTCTTTGATAAGAGTTATTGATGTCATATGCAAGGAGAGGAGAAAACTTCTCCCTCACCTCAACACAAGAGAGAAGCTCCCAGAGATCCATTTGGAAAGTTCAAAGTATGTTCCCTGGAATTTGGTTTCTGACTCACACCTGGTAAAGCTAAAAGCAAGAAAGTCTGTTAGATGCTTTGGAATGGCTGATAAAGAGGACACTAGAAATACTTTCAGAGTTTGGCACAGCAAAGATTTGTGCATATTGCCCAGACGTCAGACATAGATCCCACAGAAGGGATCATCTTGAAAGGGATCATGCCAAATACGACTTCCTGGAAAGGACAAAATAAACTTGACTGAAAGAGACTGGAAATTTTACCATCAAATTGAAAAGCTGAGGACATCATAAAGAGCAAGTGAGACAGCCCCAGAGATAGGGAAATCCTATCACCAAACCCTTCAAAATACTTCAGGTTTGGGCTTCCCTGGTGGCGCAGTGGTTAAGAATCCGCCTGCCAATGCAGGGGACACAGGTTCGAGCCCTGGTCCAGGAAGATCCCCCATGCCGCGGAGCAACTAGGCCCGTGCGCCACAATTACTGAGCCCGCGCTCTAGAGCCTGCAAGCCACAGCTACTGAAGCCTGCGCACCTAGAGCCCGTGCTCTGCAACAAGGGAAGCCACCGCAGTGAGAGGCCCACGCACTGCAAGTAGGCCCCACTCGCTGCAACTAGAGAAAGCCCGTGCACAGCAACAAAGACCCAACGCAGCCAAAAATAAAATAAATAAATTTATTTTAAAAAAACTACTTCAGGTTTGAAAGAGTCAGCATTTGGTTATCTGTCATGCCCAAAGGGCACCAAGGACATATTAGAATAGTATCAGTTAAGAAAGACCTTTCCTACAGTTCCTTCCTGCTACTCCAATGCCAAAGGATCCTAAAGAGTAGTTAACAAATGGGGAAGGAAAAAGAGCAAGAAATAGAGGAAAAAAACAGTGATGGTTGCTTTCCTCACTGCAGGCTATGAGTCTAAATCAGACCTCAGTTGGGAAAAGGAAGAGGTTTAAGTTGGATAATAAGAGTTTAGTGTTGTGATATTATGCTGGGCTTTTTATTACCTGAAAATGTCTATTGGGCTTCCCTGGTGGCGCAGTGGTTGAGAGTCCGCCTGCCGATGCAGGGGACACGGGTTCGTGCCCCGGTCCGGGAGGATCCCACATGCCGTGGAGCGGCTGGGCCCGTGAGCCGTGGCTGCTGAGCCTGCGCGTCCGGAGCCTGTGCTCCGCAACGGGAGAGGCCACAACAGTGAGAGGCCCGCGTACCGCAAAAAATAAATAAATAAAATAAAATAAAATAAAATAAAAATGACTACTTATAGGCCAGAGAATACCACAAAAGCAACAGAATACACCTGAAAGGGGCAAGAAAGTACTATTTTGACAGGATGAATTTATTTTTTTGTATCTGATTCCTTTTTCCAATATTTTTTATTGAAGTATAGTTTATTTACAATGCTGTGTTAATTTCTGCTGTGCAGCAAAGTGATTCCGTTATACATATATATACATTCTTTTTAAAATATTCTTTTCCATTATGGTTTTTTATAGGATATTGAATATAGTTCTCTGTGCTATACAGTAGGACCTTGTTGTTTATAAATTCTATATATAAAAGCTTACATCTGCTAACTCCAACCTCCCACTCCATCCCTCCCCCAATCCTCTCCCCTTTGGCAACCACCAGTCTGTTCTCTATGTCTGTCATTCTGTTTCTGTTTCATAGATAGGTTCATTTGTGTCATATTTTAGATTCCATGTATAAGTGATATAGTATGGTATTTGTCTTTCTGTTTCTGACTTATTTCACTTAGTATGATAATCTCTAGTTGCATGCATGTTGCTGCAAATAGCATTATTTTGTTCTTTTTTATGACTGAGTAGTATTCCATTGTATATATGTACCACATCTTCTTTATTCATTCATCTACTGATGGACATTTAGGTTGTTTCCATGTCTTGGCTATTGTGAATAGTGCTACTATGAACATGGGGGTGTATGTGTCTTTCTGAATTATAGTTTTTGGGGTTTTTTTAACATCTTTATTGGGGTATAATTGCTTTACAATGGTGTGTTAGTTTCTGCTTTATAACAAAGTGAATCAGTTATACATATGTTCCCATATCTCTTCCCTCTTGCGTCTCCCTCCCTCCCACCCTCCCTATCCCACCCCTCCAGGCGGTCACAAAGCACCGAGCCGATATCCCTGTGCCAAGCGGCTGCTTCCCACTAGCTATCTACCTTACGTTTGTTAGTGTGTATATGTCCATGACTCTCTTTCGCCCTGTCACAGCTCACCCTTCCCCCTCCCCATATCCTCAAGCCCGTTCTCCAGTAGGTCTGTGTCTTTATTCCTGTCTTACCCCTAGGTTCTTCATGACATTTTTTTTTCTTCTTAAATTCCATATATATGTGTGAGCATACGGTATTTGTCTTTTTCTTTCTGACTTCACTCTCTATGACAGACTCTAGGTCTATCCACCTCATTACAAATAGCTCAATTTCGTTTCTTTTTATGGCTGAGTAATATTCCATTGTATATATGTGCCACATCTTCTTTATCCATTCATCCGATGATGGGCACTTAGATTGTTTCCATTTCCAGGCTTGAATTATAGTTTTTAACAGGATGAATTTAAAGAGGAAATATGAAGGAATAAAATACTTGTTTGCATACTGAGTTCAACTTTTCACTAAAGCAGTAATAGGAATTTAAAAATCATTTTTTCACATTCAGTTTTCAACTCCACTGTCTTGCTGGGGATTCAGAAATTCCACTTTGGTGGTCAAAGGCTGAGGGTTTGATTCTTTTGTATTCCTCTAGTAATAGCTAATCCTCTTTTACACATTTCGATAAGATTGGGGTCAGTCTCATTTGTGACAGTATAAAATAGAACAGAGTATTAATTTTTTTATGTATTATTTCTAATGTTACTTGAGATCCTTACCACAAGAATCCTGGAAAACAAGGGACTTCCCAGGTGGTCCAGTGGGTAAGACTCCACGCTCCCAATACAGGGGGCCCAGGTTCGATACCTAGTTGGGGAACTAGATCCCACATGTATGCCACAACTAAGAGTCATGCTGCAACTAAGAGTCGGCATGCCTCAACTAAGAAGTCCACATGCTGCAACTAAAAAAAAAGATCCTGCATGCCACAAAGAACATCCTGCGTGCCACAACTAAAACCCAGCACAGCCAAAATAAATAAATAAATAAATAAATATTTTCTTTAAAAAGGTAATGAGGTATCATTTCTTAAAAAAAAAAAAAAGAATCCTGGTAAACAAGATTGCTATTCCTTTTCCATAAATGAGATAATCAAGACTCAAGACAGGTAAAGTTAACTTTCCCAAGGCCACTGAAGTGTAAGTAGCAGAACTGAGCTTTAAATCAACGTCTGTCTGATTCTAAATACTATGCTTTGTCCTCTACACATACTATCTCACACTGATGAACGTATAAGTATATTGCCCTTTATTATGAAACTATTTGTTCATATAGATATGTTAGCATTTTTTCTAACTAGCTTTATTTTTTCTATAGGATAATTGATTGCATAAAAATGTCTTTAAGTATTATTTGAGGATTCTCAAAAGTTACTGAAAGAGTAAAAGAATCCCATTAATTTGTTCTTATTCTAGCATGATGATGTTAGCACACCAAAGTATTTCTCCAAAACCAAAGAGTACTGCAAGTTCAGAATCAGGTAATTAGTAATGAAACTAATCATTTTCATAATCCTCTATTTATTTTTAACATCTTTATTGGAGTATAATTGCTTTACAGTGTTGTGTTAGTTTCTGCTGTATAACAAACTGAATCAGCTATATGCATACATGTATTCCCACATCCCCTCCCTCTTGCGTCTCCCTCCCACCCTCCTTATCTGACCCCTCTAGGTAGTTGCAAATCACGGAGCTGATCTCCTGGTGCCATGCAGCTGCTTCCCAGTAGCTATCTATGTTACCTTTGGTAGTGTATATATGTCAATGCTACTCTCTCACTTCATCCCTGCTTACCCTTCCCCCTCCCCATTCCTCAAGTCCATTCTCTACGTCTGTGTCTTTATTCCTGTCCTGCCCCTAGGTTCATTAGAACCATTTTCTTTTAGATTCCATATATATGTGTTAGCATACAGTATTTGTTTTTCTCTTTCTGACTTACTTCACTCTGTAGGACAGACTCTAGGTCCATCCACCTCACTACAAATAACTGAATTTCATTTCTTTTTATGGCTGAGTAATATTCCATTGTATATATGTGCCACATCTTCTTTATCCATTCATCTATTGATGGACACTTAGGTTGCTTCCATGTCCTGGCTATTGTAAATACAGCTGCACTGAACATTGTGGTACATGACTCTGTCTGAATTATGGTTTTCTCAGGGTCCATGCCCAGTAGTGGGATTGCTGGGTCATATGGTAGTTCTATTTTTAGCTTTTTAAGGAACCTCCATACTGTTCTCCATAGTGGCTGTATCAATTTACATTCCCACCAACAGTGCAAGAGGGTTCCCTTTTCTCCACACCCTCTCCAGCATTTATTGTTTGTAGATTTTTTGTTGATGGCCATTCTGACTGGTGTGAGGTGATACCTCATTGTAGTTTTGTTTTGCATTTCTCTAATGATTACTGATGTTGAGCATCTTTTCATATGTTTGTTGGCAATCTGTATGTCTGCTTTGGAGAAATGTCTGTTTCGGTCTTCTGCCCATTTTGGGGTTGGGTGGTTTGTTTTTTTGATATTGAGCTTCATGAGCTCTTGTATATTTTGAGATTAATCCTTTGTCACTTGCTTCGTTTGCAAATATTTTCTCCCATCTGAGGGTTGCCTTTGAGTCATGTTTATGGTTTCCTTTACTGTGCAAAAGCTTTGAAGTTTCATTAGGTCAGCTTTGTTTATTTTTGTTTTTATTTCCATTTCTCTAGGAGGTGGGTCAAAAAGGATCTTGTTGTGATTTATGTCATAGAGTGTTCTGCCTATGTTTTCCTCTAAGAGTTTTAGAGTGGCCTTACATTTTACATTTTACATCTTTAATCCATTTGGAGTTTATTTTTGTGTATGGTGTTAGGAAGTGTTCTAATTTCATTCTTTTACATGCAGCTGTCCAGCTTTCCCAGCACCACTTATTGAAGAGGCTGTCTTTTCTCCATTGTATACTCATGCCTCATTTATCAAAGATAAGGTGATCGTATGTGCGTGGGTTTATCTCTGGGCTTTCTGTCCTGTTCCATTGATCTATATTTCTGTTTTTGTGCCAGTACCATATGGTCTTGATTACTGTAGCTTTGTAGTATAATCTGAAGTCTGGGAGCCTGAAGCCTCCAGCTCTGTTTTTTTTTCTCAAGATTGTTTTGGCTATTTGGGGTCCTTTGTGTTTCCATACAAATTGTGCAATTTTTTTGTTCTAGTTCTGTGAAAAATGACATTGGTAGTTTGATAGGGCTTGCACTGAATCTGTAGATTGCTTTGGGTAGTATAGTCATTTTCACAATGTTGATTCTTCCAATCCAATAATATGGTATATCTCTCCATTTGTTTGTATCATCTTTAATTTCCTTCATCAGTGTCTTATAGTTTTCTGCATACAGGTCTTTTGTCTCCTTAGGTAGGTTTATTCCTAGGTATTTGATTCTTTTTGTTGCAATGGTAAATGAGAATGTTTCAATAATTTATCAGATTTTTCATCATTAGTGTATAGGAATGCAAGTGATTTCTGTGCATTAATTTTGTATCCTGCTCCTCTACCAAATTGATTGATTAGCTCTAGTACTTTTCTGGTAGCATCTTTAGGATTCTCTATGTATAGTATCGTGTCATCTGCAAACAGTGACAGTTTTACTTCTTCTTTTCCAATTTGGATTCCTTTTATTTCTTTTTCTTCTCTGATTGCTGTGACTAAAACTTCCAAAACTATGTTGAATAATAGTGGTGAGAGTGGGCAACCTTGTCTTGTTCCTGATCTTAGAGGAAATGGTTTCATTTTTTCACCATTGAGAACGATGTTGGCTGGGGGGTTGTCTTATACGGGCTTTATTATGTTGAGGTAAGTTCCCTCTATGCCTACTTTCTGGAGAGATTTTATCATAAATTGATGTTGAATTTTGTCAAAAGCTTTTTCTGCATCTATTGAGATGATCATATGGTTTTTATCCTTCTGTTTGTTAATATGTTGTATCACAATGATTGATTTGCATATTTTGAAGAATCTTTGCATTCCTGGGATAAACCCCACTTATCATGGTGTATGATCCTTTTAATGTGCTGTTGGATTGTTTGCTAGTATTTTTTTGAGGATTTTTGCATCTAGGTTCATCAGTGATATTGGCCTGTGGTTTCTTTGTGACATCTTTGTCTGGTATTTTGTTTGTTTTGTTTGTTTTTTTGCAGTACGTGGGCCTCTCACTGTTGTGGCCTCTCCCATTGCGGAGCACAGGCTCCAGATGCGCAGGCTCAACTGCCATGGCTCACGGGCCCAGCCGCTCCGCAGCATGTGGGATCTTCCCGGACAGGGACACGAACCCGTGTCCCCTGCATCGGCATGCGGACTCTCAACCACTGTGCCACCAGGGAAGCCCCTTTTTCTGGTTTTGGTATCAGGATAATGGTGGCCTCGTAGAATGAGTTTGGGAATGTTCCTCCCTCTGCTATATTTTGGCAGAGTTTCAGGATAGGTGTTAAGTCTTCTCTAAATGTTTGATAGAATTTGCCCGTGAAGCCGTCTGGTCCTAGGCTTTTGTTTGTTGGAAGATTTTTAATCACAGTCTCAATTTCAGTGCTTGTGATTGGTCTGTTCATATTTTCTATTTCTTCCTGGTTCAGTCTCGGAAGGTTGTGTTTTTCTAAGAATTTGTCCATTTCTTCCAGGTTTCCATTTTATTGGCATATAGTTGCTTGTAGTAATCTCTCATGAGCCTTTGTATTTCTGCAGTCTCAGTTGTTACTTCTCCTTTTTCATTTCCAATTCTATTGATCTGAGTCTTCTCCCTTTTTTTCTTACTGAGTCTGGCTAATGTTTTATCCATTTTGTTTATCTTGTTAAAGAACCAGGTTTTAGTTTTATTGATCTTTGCTGTTGTTACCTTCATTTATTTTTCATTTATTTCTGATCTGATCTTTATCATTTCTTTCCTTCTGCTAACTTTGGGTTTTTTGGTTCTTCTTTCTCTAACTGCTTTAGGTGTAAGGTTAGGTTTTTTGAGATTTTTCTTGTTTCTTGAGGTAGGACTGTATTACTCTAAACTTCCCTCTTAGAACTGCTTTTGCTGCATCCCATAGGTTTTGGGTCATCCTGTTTTCATTGTCATTTGTTTCTAGGTATTTTTTGATTTCCTCTTTGATTTCTTCAGTGATCTCTTGTTTATTTAGTATTGTATTGTTTAGCCTCTGTGTGTTTGTATTTTTTACAGGTTTTTTCCTGTAATAGATATGTAGTCTCATAGTGTTGTGATCGGAAAAGATACTTGATACAATTTCAATTTTATTAAATTTACCAAGGCTTGATTTGTGACCCAAGATATGATGTATCCTGGAGAATGTTCCATGAGCACTTGAGAAGAAAGTGTATTCTGTTGTTTTTGGATGGAATGTCCTATAAATATCAATTAAGTCCATCTTGTTTAATGTATCATTTAAAGCTTGTGTTTCCTTATTTATTTTCATTTTGGGTGATCTGTCCATTGGTGAAAGTGGGGTGTTAAAGTCCCCTACTATGATTGTGTTACTGTCGATTTCCCCTTTTATAGCTGTTAGCATTTGCCTTATGTATTGAGGTGCTCCTATGTTGGGTGCATAAATATTTACTATTGTTATATCTTCTTCTTGGATTGATCCCTTGATCATTATGTTGTGTCCTCCTTTGTCTCTTGTAATAGTCTTTATTTTAAGGTCTATTCTGTCTGATATGAGAATTGCTACTCCTGCTTTCTTGTAATTTCCATTTGCATGGAACATCTTTTTCCATCCCCTCACTTTCAGTCTGTATGTGTTCCTAGGTCTGAAGTGGGTCTCTTGTAGACAGCATATATACTGGTCTTGTTTTTGTATTCATTCAGCCAATCTATGTCTTTTGGTTGGAGCATTTAATCCATTTGCACTTAAGGTAATTATCGAAATGTATGTTCCTATTACCATTTTGTTAATTGCTTTGGGTTTGTTTTTGTAGGTCTTTTCCTTCTCTTGTGTTTCCCGCCTAGAGAAGTTCCTTCATTTATTGTAAAGCTGGTTTGGTGGTGCTGAATTCTCTTAACTTTTGCTTATCTGTAAAGGTTTTAATTTCTCTGTCAAATCTGAATGAGATCCTTGCTGGGTAGAGTAATCTTGGTTGTATGTTTTTCCTTTTCATCACTTTAAATATGTCCTGCCACTCCCTTATGGCTTGCAGAGTTTCTGCTGAAAAATCGGCTGTTAACCTTATGGGGATTCCCTTGTATGTTATTTGTTCCTTTTTCCGTGCTGCTTTTAATATTTTTACTTTCTACTTAATTTTTGATAGTTTGATTAATATGTGTCTTGGTGTGTTTCTCCTTGGATTTATCCTGCATGGGACTCTCTGCGCTTCCTGGAATTGATTAACTATTTCCTTTCTCATGTTGGGAAGTTTTCAAGTATAATCTCTTCAAATATTTTCTCAGTCCCTTTCTTTTTCTCTTCTTCTTCTGGAACCCCTATAATTCGAATGTTGGTGCGTTTAATGTTGTCCCAGAGGTCTCTGAGACTGTCCTCAATTCTTTTCATTCTCTTTTCTTTATTCTGCTCCCTGGCAGTTATTTCCACCATATTATCTTCCAGCTCACTTATCTGTTCTTCTGCCTCAGTTATTCTGTTATTGATTCCTTCTAGAGTATTTTTAATTTCACTAATTGTGTTCTTCATCACTATTTGTTTGCTCTTTAGTTCTTCTAGAGCCTTGTTAAGTGTTTCTTGTATTTTCTCCATTCTGTGTCTGAGATTTTGGGTCATCTTTACTATCATTACTTGAATTCTTTTTCAGGTAGGTTGCCTATTTTGCCTTCATTTGTTTGGTCTTGTAGGTTTTTACCTTGCTCCTTTGTCTGTAACATATTTTTTGTTGCTTCATTTTTGTTTTTTGTTTTTTTTTTTGATGTGTGGTGCTGTATTCCTGTCTTACTGGTTGTTTGGCCTGAGACATCCAGAACTGGAGTTTGCAGGCAGTTGGATAGAGCTGGGTCTTGGTGCTGAGATGAGGATCTCCGGGAGACCTCACTCTGATTGATATTCCCTGGGATCTGAGGTTCTCTGTTAGTCCAGTGGTTTTGACTTGGAACTCCCACCACAGGAGCTTCAGCCTTACCTCCAGTTTGGGAACCAAGATCCCACAAGCTTCGTGGTGTGGTTAAAAAAAAAATAAGAAAAAAAAAGGAGCAGTACAGTATCAAAGAATAAAAAAACAAAATAAAATTAGAAAGATGAAAAATATATTAGGAAAAATAAAACTATAATTGAAACATCTGCAACAAGGTAAAATAAAACCACAACAGAAAAAAGAAAAAAAAAAAGGGTGGGGTGGGGTGGGGGTACAAGCCAGAAGGAGAGATCACCAGTCATTGGGGGTTCCTCCATCCCCTTAGGTGTCCGTGGTCCCCCACCAGTGCCTGCTAGATGCCCTAGTTGTGAGGAGATGCGAATTTTGTTTCCTCCTAGTACACCATCTTGACCCTGACTCCCTCTATTCATTTTTGTCACGGTGCTGCAGTATTTGTTAAGAAAACTGGTAGCCCAGGAAATTGAGTGCTTTTTAGTGTGGTTGTATTTAAGAAATGAAGATATGTGAGGTTAGGTCTTAACTATCCCCACAGCACCCATCATTAATTCATTTAATAAACATTTACTGAGTATGTATTCTGTACTAGGTATTACTATATATTCCGATAGGGAGTGATGTATTTTCCCTGACCTTGTAAATTTCATTCGGAGGAGAGGAAGATAATCAGTAAACAGATGCATTGGAGTTATGTGTGATGGTTGAAAAATAAAAGAATCAACAAAATGCCTTGCATTTTTGGCCCTCTATTATTTAGTTTACTATTAGAATAAACATAGCAAGACCTTTACAACCTTATTAACATCTATTGTATTTCAGATTTCTATTTTCTTTATTTTCTGCAAGAAGTTTTATAGCATCTGTTTGGGGATAAATTTAAAGAATTGCTTGTTTTGCTCCTGATAGATATAAATGTTTGTATGAACTGAAAAAAAAGAGTTTTTTTGGTGTTGTCTTCACTTTAAGCGGTTGTCTTAATGAGCATTTAGAAAATGCCAGGTATTATGTTAGGAAATGTGGGTATAAAAATGCTTAAGATGGTTTCTGTTCTAAGGGAAATGAATCTAGTGATAAAAACTAAACTTGTAAAAGCACACATCCTTGGAAAGAGTAGCACCTACTACCTTGGAGGGTGAGCATTAGAAGGAAGATTTGCTTTACAGATCACAATTAAGGAACTTGTGAACAAAGGAAGAAAGATATGAAAGGGAAAGTTGGTAAGGGTATCAAAAACAATCATGATTTTACCTAGTTCCTGCCAGATTTTGGCTGTGGAAAATATTATTTATAAAGCCTGGTAGTAAGGCAGAATATTGATTCTGTAATTATGTATGCTTGTGTATTCTTACTTTTATGTGGTTGATTGACTTAAAATTTCAAATTAAATAAATTACATCTTACTCTAGAGTTATTTTTTACACATTCCTTAATTCAGCAAATCCAAGTTTGTTCCAGTTGTTTGTTAGGCTCTTTACTAAGTGTTAGGAAACCAAGAAATGACTATATTCCTGCCCTCAGGGGTTCATAGTCTAGTAATAGAAACAAACAAACAAGAAGTTACTTCTCAGACATCTCCTGCTCAGTCTTCTTTGCAATCTTATCTACTGCTATTAGCTATTAAATGTGGGAGTTCTTAAAGGCTGATTCCTAGATTTTAATTTCTGTTCAGTCTACTCCCTGATATGTATAAGTGTCCTATAGAAGGTAGGGCTTCCAAATTTTCCATTCTAGACTCTCCTCTGAGGTAAGACCCTTATATGTAGCTGCCTTCTGGACATCTCCGCTTGGATGTTTCAGAGACACCTTATCTCATCATTCGTTAATTCCACTCATTCAACGAATATTTATTAAGCACCTACAGTGTAACAGAAACTGTTTTAGTTGCTGGGGAACATGACAAATTTCTTGCCCTAACAGAGTTTGTATTATAGTGGAGAAAGAAAGAAAATAAACAGATAAAAACAGATAAACAAATACATATATCACAACATCAAAAATAAGAGTAATAAGGGAAAATAAAGAAGGGTAAAAACAGAGTGTGTGACTAGGGATGCTGTTTTAGACAGGCTAATCAGGATAGGCCTCTCTGAGGAGGTGACATTCACACAGAGCTTGAATGAAGTGACAGAGTGCGCCATGTGAAAATCTGGTGGCAGAGCATGCCAGGCATAAGGGCATCACAAGTGAAAAGACCATGAGATGGGAATGTGTTTAGCATGTTGGAAAAAGAGAAAAGAGGCTAGTGTGACTGGAGAAAGATGAGGAAATAAAAATGAATGGTTGAAATTGTAGTCGGTGAGCAAGTGGTATAATGTAGTCTCATATGCCATCGCAAAGAGTAGGGATTTTTTTCTAAATGTGTTGATAAGTGCATCTTAGAGCAGAGGAATGACATGATCAGGTACATATTTTAGAATTATCACTCTGGCTACTATGTGGATAATAGACTAAGGGGTAAGAGTGGAAGCAAGGAAACCTTGTGAAATAAACTATTGCAATGGTCAGATAATGGTGTTTGAGACTAAAGTGATAGCAGTGGTCTGATTTGGAATATATTTTAAAGGCAGATGGGCCAGGATTTCCTGAATAGGTTGGTTGTTGGGTAAGAGAGAAAAGTCAAGAATGACTCTTAAATTATTGGTTTGAGCAACTAGATGAATGGTGGTATCATTTCTTGAGATAGGAACATCGTAGGGCAGAGCAAGTTAGGAGAATAATTAAGAGTCTTTGGTTTATGCATATTAAATTTGATCTGTCAGCTCATGTACATAATGTTACATGAAAGAATGGAAACACAAACAGGTATATACTCATTTATTTTATATATATATATAAAGTTCAAGAACAGGCAAGACTTATTCTGGCTAACAGAAGTTAGAATAGTGGTAATCTTTAAAAAGGGGTTGCTGACTGGGAAAAAACATATAGGAAATTTCTGGGGTGTTGGAAATATTTTATGTCTTGATCTGGGTGATAATTATATGGACGAATACATGTAAATATAAGATTTGTTCCCATTACTGTACCTATGGAGTACCTTAAGAAAATATTAAAACATTAAGAGGATTTTTAACCTTCAGCTGGAGATGTTGTGAAAGCAGTTTGTGACACAGAGTCCGGAGTTCAGGGCAGAGACTGGGGCTGCAGATAAATATTTAGAGTCAGGTATAGATGCTTTGAAGCCGTTAGAGTAGGTGAGTCACTTAGGAAGAGAAAAGAAATAGAAAAGAGACATGTAAAAGAATATAAATGGAACACTTCAACATTTAGAAACAGCTGTAACAAAATATTCCAAGAGATCAAATAAAACAAGGGTTGATGACTGAGAATTGTTACACCCAAGACCTAACCTAGTCTTCCTCCTCCAGTGTCCTCCGTCTCAACAAATGTAGCTTAATAAACCAAAACATGGGATCATCCTCAACACCTTCCTGTTTGTCATTTCTGTCTCTAAGTACTAATTTTATCTTTTACAGAACTCTCAAACCTACAGCTTCTCTCTACATTGGGAGATGAAGATGAGAGGAATGATTAGCCTCAAAGTTTACCAGATTTAGCAAATAAAGATACACAATGCCCAGTGAAATTAGAATTCAGAAGCAAATAATTTTTAATATAATTATGTCATGAACATTGCCTAGGCTGTACTATTACACAGAAAATACTTAAACTAAAAAGAATTTGTGATTCATCTGAACTTCACATTTAAGTGGGCATCCTATGTTTAATCTCTGCAATGAGGCTGGAAATATGTAAGCAATACAGGGATTATAAAAATAGGATTTTGTATGCCAATTTAAGAAGCTTAAGTTTTAACTTGAGGGCAGTGGAAAGCCTTTAAAGAGTGTTAAGCAGATGATATTAGATTTGTATTTTAGGTATACAGTGTGGATAGTGGACTGCAGAAGGAGGTGATTTGAAAGACTATTGGGATCTATGTAGCAGGAAAGGTTTTGGGGTACAGATAAAGTTTTTGGTAAGATGAAAGAGGCCTGAGTATGTTTTAAGTGCTGGTAGGAAAGTTGGAGTAGAAAGGGAGAGAGTGAAAATACAGGATAGTAGAAATGGAAGGATAATTAATGAAGAATTCTAATCACATGCAACTTTCTCTACTAATTGAAAGGTAAATCTTTTATATACAGTTTATTTACTTCTGTGAAACCTGGAGCTCTTGAGATAAAGGTATTTTTAAGAATTCTTTCTCCTTTCTGTAGCAAGTCAGGTTGTTCAACATACATTAAGTTTTTCTTCTAAAACTATTACAAAATCATAGTCATTAAAATCCATTTTTTCCTCAAATTTGAGTTCTCTTTTCTGTACTTAGAGTTCATGACAGGTTAAATAATGAAAATACTAAAGTATATTTTTATTATAGATAATGCATCTTGTGGAGTTTTACTTGCTGAGAAAAATTACCCTTCAACCCCTCAAAAAACAAAGAAAAAAGCAAGTATTGAAGCAGAATAACCTTATAAACCATAAATTTCATTAATATGGGACATACTATTTTCTTTTAAACAACACTTTTATAGGAATTACTTTTCAGCTATTTAAGCCAATAATGGAAAATATTTTTGGAGCTTAGCAATTAGATTGCATTATTGTTGCATGAATATATACTCTATATAAAGTTAATGAAAGAGGATTAAAACTTTAAAATTTTCCAATTTCCTTAAATTGGATGTCTATTAATAATTTAAAGTGAAAATAACACATTTGCTTTGTAGCCAGAACAGTGTTCTATACGAAGGAACTGAAAATCAGTACATTAGGCCTGGAATCTAGAGGTCTTTGGGGAGGAATTCAGACTTGATTATGTATATAACAGGAGCTACTCTCTGAGTGGCTACTCAGAGTAAAGTATTATTATCCTTTTCATTATATGTTTTTTATAGCATTCCTATCAGGTAAGTTTTTCATTTGTTTTATTTTTTAGCAATTTTATAGCTGAGAAAAATGAGGTTTAGATATTAACCAATATGCTTGAGGAGCTTGTGACAAGTCTTTCTCAATCTAAAACCTGTACTTTTTCCACTGTACCGTATGGTCACTATATACTTTGGGGAGCAAATTGAAAGAGGGCAAGAGTGTCAGCAGGAAGATTCATTAATAGAAAGTTGCAAAGGTTTTTGGTGGGAGATTGTGGTGGCTTTAACTAGGATGTTTTGTAGGAGAGATGGAATAATATGCGTGGATTGAAGATAATTTTACCTATAGAGTTTATGGATTGGACATAGAGGATGAAAGAGTGAGAGGTGTCAATAAAGGCTTCTAGGTTTGTGTCTTAAGCAGCTTTGATGGATAAAGGTGCTATATAATGTGATAGGAAAGGCAGGAGATCTGAAGGCACATAAAGATGAAAATGTTGGAAGGGCCATTAGCTGTAAGTTTCCAGGTCAGGAAAACAGAACAGGAGTATACAATATTATAGATATTTTAAAATTCATGGTAATGGGTGAAATCACCTGGGAAAGAGTATCTAGAGAGTAAGGAAGAAAAGGGGGTCCAGGATCAATTCTTGAAAAACTCTACAGTCACATGGAAAAGGAAAAGTGGGCAGAGAGAACAGGGAAAATAAACAGCATATGGTATCATAGAAGGTAAAGGAGGAGAGCTTTTGCTCCTTAAAGGGAGAGTGGCCAACTATGCTGGGTGCTGCTTGGAGGTCCAGTGTTATAAAGAATTTTGAAAAATTGGAAGACTTCCAGTTTCTGGTCCAACATGAAAGGAACTTAGAAGTCACTACTCTGTCCTAACAACAAGTAGAAACCTGAACAAACTGAAAAATAAGCAACTCTTTATAGATCTTTCGAAGAAGTAAGTAAGGTCACATGGTCAACTGCTACACCAAAATATGGAAAGACAGACAGGTGGATACATAGAATAATGACTTACCAGAGCAGAAACACATGAACAGAAACCTCCCTGTGAACCAGTGCTGGGGTGGGAAACCCAAAAGTGTGATTGATTAATTGCTAAAGGCTCAGTGTGGACAACTCTGAAAGTTAAAAACTCAAGAGGGACCCAGTCATCAGAGGAACCTCCACACTTTTGTGAGTTTTACCTCCAGAAACTCTACCAGATCCTCACAGTGAAAATCAGAGAAGAATACCCTCATGCTTCTGGTAGTGGAAAGGGAAAAGGAACCATTTTGAAATACATCAGAATATTCTGTTCTTCTTAACAAAGCCTGCCCTCAACAGAAAGTGTTTTACAATAGCCTAACTTGCTGGGGTTTTATCAGAGCCTAACCTACCTGGGGAGGGGAAGTACCTGATTCCAGCCAGCTCTCCACTTCCAAGTGGAGGAAGGAAATTATTCAATTCCAGCTCCCTCTAGCCTTCCACATGGGTGAATGGAAGTACCCGATTACTACAAGATGGTCCTTTCTAGCCATCCTGTCTCAACTCAAGGGGGAAAAAACTGAGAAGAACCGGTGATGTTTGCAGTCCAGGGGCACAGGCTCAATAAAAGACTGAGACCTAATCATAGAACTGTAGAATGCTTCTCCATCCCTACAATTTATCAGTGCATTACTAAAGACGTATTCACCACAGTTGCTATTACCCAGTACATCATGTCCACATTTTAGCAAAAAATTACAAGCCATACTAAAGGGCAAAAATTACTGTTTAAAGAGGCTGAATAAGCATCAGAGCCAGAGACAGATGTGGCAGTAGTGTTAGAATGATCAGACCAGAAATGTAAAATAACTATGATTAATGTGCTAAGGCAGTTATAGGAAAAAGTAGACAACATGCAATATAAGCAGAGAGATGGAAATTTTAAGAAATAATCAAAGGAGTGCTAGAGATCAAAAACACTATAGCAGGAATGAAGAATGCCTTTGATGGACTCAGTAGTAGAATAGACACAGCTAAGGGAAGAATATCTGAGTCTGAGGACATGACAATAGAAACTTCCCAAACTGAAAAGCAAAGAGAAAAAAGGACTAAAAAAAAAAAAAAAAGAACTGTGGGACAACTACAAAAGGTGTGACATATACATAATTAGAATTCCAGATGGAAAGAAACAGAGAAAGGAACAGAAGCAACATTTGAAACAATAATGACTAAAAATCTTCCAAAATTAAAATGTCAGACATTAAACCACAGATCCAGGAAATTGAGACAATACAAAGCAGGATAAATGCCCCCAAAACTACATATAGAAATATCAGATTTGAACATCAGAAAATCAAGCAAAGAAAATATCTTGGAAGAAGCCAGAAGGAAAAACACCTTACCTATAGAAGAGCAAAGATAAGATTTACAGACCTCTCCTCAGAAACCATTCAAGCAAGAAGAGAGTGAAGTGAAATATTTAAAGTATTGAGAGAAAACAACCACCAACTAGAATTCAGTACCCTGTGAAGTTATCCTTCAAAAGTGGAGGAGAAATACATACTTTCTCAGACAAACAAAAATTGAGGGAATTTGTTGCCAGTAGGCTTGCCTTGTAAGAATTATTTAAAGTTCTTCAGGAAGAAGGAAAATAACATGTCAGTATAGGTTTATCTATCTTAACAAATGTACCACTGTGGTGTAGTGTGTCAATAGTAGGGGAGGTTGTGCATGATTGGGGACAAAGGGGTATATGGGAACTCTGTACATTCAGCTGAGTTTTGCTGTGAACCTCAAACTGCTGTAAAATATGAAGTTTGTTAATTTTTTAAAAGTCAATTGCATTTAGGATCAAGAAGGAAATTGATGACTTTGGCAATAATAATTTTAGTGCACTAGTAAGGAAACTAGATTGGAATAGGTTAAAGAGTTATAGAAATTGAGAAAGTATAAAATATATAAAGAAGCAAATTGGGACATAAACAATATAAAATGTGTGTGTGGAGGGGAAAGTAAATGTGTAAAACTTTTTAATGCAATTGAAGTTAATTTGTTTTCAGCTTAAAGTAGACTATTAAAAGATGTATTATGAATGCCTTAGGTAATCAAAAAGCAAAAATCTGTGAGAGATACACAATGATAAAGAGAAAAGAATCAAAGCATACCACTAGAAAAAAAAAAACATCAATTCACAAAGAAAGACAGCAATAGAGGAAGAAAGGAACAAAGGAACTATAAAATAATCAGAAAGCAATTAACAAAATGGTGATAGTCCTTACTATCAATAAGTCTGCACCTCTCAGTAATTATTCTAAATGTAAATGTTTTAAATTCTTCATTTAAAAGATATAGAGCAGCTAAATGAAAACAAAATAACTATATGCTGTCTACTAGAGACCCACTTAAGCTTTAAGGACACTAAGGCTGAAAGTGAAGGGATGGACAAAGTTATTCCATACAAATAGAAACCCAAATAGAACAAGGGTAGCTATACTTATATGAGACAAAATAGATTTTTAAGTCAAAAGCTGTAATAAGAGACAAAGAATGCCATTATATAGTGATAAAGGGGTCAGTTCATCAAGAGGATATAACAATTGTAAGTATATACTTACTGAATTTTGAAGCACTGAAGTATATTAAACAATTATTAACGGATCTAAAAGCAGAAATAGGCAGCAATGCAATAAGAGTAAGGGACTTCAATACCTGACTTTCAAAAATGGATAAATTATCCAGACTGAAAATCAGTGAGGAAATAATGGACTTGAACTACACTTCAGACTAAATGCACCTAACAGACATATACAGAACATTCCACCCAACAACGGTAGAATCCACATTCTTCTCAAATGCACAGGAAACATGTTCCAGAATAGATCATACGTTAGGTCACAAAACAAGTCTTTAACAAATTTAATAAGATTGAAATTATATCAAGTATATTTTCTGACTGCAATGGTATAAAACTAAAAATCAACAATAAGAGCAAAGCTGGAAAACTCAAATATTTGGAAATTAAACAACATACTTATGAAAAACCGATGAGTCAAAGAATAAATCAAAAGAGCTATTAAAAATATCTTGGGGGGGGGGCTTCCCTGGTGGTGCAGTGGTTGAGAGTCTGCCTGCTGGTGCAGGGGACACAGGTTCGAGCCCTGGTCTGGGAGGATCCCACATGCCGCGGAGCGGCTAGGCCCGTGAGCCACAACTACTGAGCCTGCACGTCTGGAGCTTGTGCTCCACAACAAGAGAGGCTGCGATAGTGAGAGGCCCACGCACCATGATGAAGAGTGGCCCCCGCTTGCCACAACTAGAGAAAGCCCTCGCATCGAAACGAAGACCCAACACAACAAAAATAAATAAATTAATTTAAAAAATATATCTTGAGGGCTTCCCTGGTGGCGCAGTGGTTGAGAGTCCGCCTGCCAACGCAGGGGACACGGGTTCGTGCCCCGGTCCAGGAAGATCCCACGTGTTGCAGCACGGCTAGGCCCATGAGCCATGGCCGCTGAACCTGCGTGTCCGGAGCCTGTGCTCCATTAACAGGAGAGTCCACAACAGTGAGAGGCCCGCATACGGCAAAAAAAAAAAAAAAAAATC